ACCTCGCACTGAGACGGCGACGCGGAGACGCAGGCGACGCCCCTTCTCAACGGGAAGAAACGGGTAACTCCGTGAAGTCAGAAAACACCCGTGTCCCCTGATCCCGCCCTGGGTCCTGCCGCCCGCGGGCAGGGACATCTCTGACCCAGCCCGGGTCACGGGGGAGACAGATCACAGAGAACAGAAGCGCAACTCCGAGGGCACCGCGGGCCCTGCACACGGCCCTTCCTCCTGCGCCGGGCACACATTCAGAGACAGCAAACAATTTACGAACAGGATTTAATAACGCTCGCAGGAATAGTTTGCCCCCAATAAGAAAACCACACATTGTTTTGTTTCAAAAGGTTACAAATTCAGAGCCTGAAAACCCAGCAGGTAAGCAGCCAGCTAACAGTCAGTTCTGGGAACTGTCTGCTGGGAATGGTCGGGTGTCTGTCCAGGAGCCTCCCCCAGGGTGAGGGGTGAAGCACAGGGCTACTTACAGCCCATCCCGCAGGCCTCCCCTCCCGTCGCCCTCAGTACCGTCTGTTCATCTTCTTGAACTTCTCATAGTGATAGTCATCGGTGGCCTTCTCATTAGAGGGGCGCTTGCGGTTAGGGGGGGACCCTGTGGAGGGAAAGGGGGAAAGCTGTCTGCCGTGCAGGAAGCCAGGGACAGGCCTCGGGTCCACATGGGCAAGGCCCATTCGCCACAGGAGCCCCAGGGCTGCCCTAGTGAACGGAAACAGCAGGGCCTCAGTAAGCACCTGTTACTGAGTGAATGTTAAGAGACACATGGTGGAGTCCACATGGTGGAGCTGGGCGCCGGCCAAACTATGCTGACACCAGCAAGCGACTTGCTGGACAGTAGCAGCTACGCTTCCTTGAGCCTGACTATGTACCAGGCACGGCACTAAACCCTTTTAGACATGACTTCCTTTGACCATCACGGCAATCCTAGCGGGCACGTTACCACCTCTGCTCCGAGAGGGTTAGGTGACTTGCTCAGGACAGTCAAGTTAGGCTGAGAGTTGAACCCAAGTCTGGTGACTCCAAAGTCCTTGCTTACCATGTGTTTAACACAAAGCACTTGGGAAATCAAAGACTACAAAACCAAGATGTTAAAAAAATAATTTCCCAGATAAGAAAGAAGAATCAGACGCTTTTCAGAAGCTGCAACAAATTCCGCATTTCCTTAGAATCATCCCATTGCTGATGAAAAGGGTGACGCCAGGGGGTGCAGGGTAGCAGGTGGGAAGGGGCATTGTCAGCTGCTGCAGGGAGAAATCAGCATCACACCACTGGGGGTCCATTTGGTGACTTCTCAGAGTGTAGCCTAAGGACACGATGCAGTGGATGCAGTCGAGATGGGCACCAAAGCAGTGTTGAAACGGAAAACAGGAAACCACCCAGGCGCCCAACCAAAGGGAAATGGTGGGACTACAGTACATCTCTCTTTCCAATGGCACAGGACATGGCATTTGAAAAAGAAAGTATGTATTTACGTGCTGCTGAGAGCAAACCACTGTGAGATCCTGGTAAGTTACATACAGTGTTTCCTATGCATGAATATTTTAAAAGTCTGAAAGGTTATACATAAAAATGTTAACAGTGGTTGTCCTTGGGTGATGAAATTATGAATAAATTTTCATTTCTTTTTGTTTATTGAAATTTTCTAATTTTTTGAGTATTTGATAGCCCAGTGAATCCTCAGAGCAACCCCAAGTGGGAGGTTTTATTACTATTCCCATTTTATAGATGAGGAAACTGAGGTTTGCAAAGGGAAAGGCACAAGGCCATGGCCCAGAGCACGGACTAAAACCCAGATGCCCTGGCCCTGAAGCCCGAGCTCCACCCCTGCCGACTCCCACCCTGCCTCCAAAGCCCGAGCTCCACCCCTGCCGACTCCCACCCTGCCTCCATGGGCCCCAGAATGATGTGACCACTTCAGGCAGCCTTGAGGCCCCAGTTGTACTCACGATCAGGCTCTGGCTTCTCTGTGTCTCCCACTCTCAAGGGACGGGCTTTGGGCTCTTCTTTGTTTCTCCGTATGGGGGCATTGAGCTCCTCGTGATAAACTGGACCAAAAGAGATCAGGAGATGCATCAAACACGGGAACCCAGGGACCTCAAACCAGTGGGGCGGGGCAGGTTGGGAAAGGGTGAGGGGCTGCTTCTAGAGGCTCACATCGGTTGTGCTGCACGTAATTCACTGCCATGTTGGTGGGCACGAAGGACGTCTCGCTGTCTTTCTTCTTGTTCTGCTGCTCCGCCAGCAGGCGGGCCTTGGCATCCTCCGTGGAAATGATATTTTTTATTTTAGCACTAAGGGGAGAAAGGGGCCGTGCCACATATTAGATCACACACCTCTGGTCCTCAGAAGGAAGGGCCTGGCGAGGCTGGCAGCTGGCCAGTGCATAAGAAAATCATCCTTCCCAGGCCACAGCCCTGCACCATTTACCAACCCCTTTCAGTCACATTCTCTTGGAGTCTCACAGCTGTGGCAGATGCGGGACTTACTACCTTCTATCAAGAGAAAACTGAGCCTCCAGAAATGAAGAGAATTAACTAAGGCTCAGCTAGAAAGGCCAGCAAGCGGTGAGAACCCAGAGGTCTCTCAACTTTCTGCTATAGCCAAAGATGATTCTGACAGTGTACTTCCTCCCCGACAGTCCCCTTTAGAGCAGATGTTTTGTGGTAGAAAGGGGTTCTGAGGGTCATGGGGTGGCTAAGCCTTTAACATCGGTCCTGTTGGAATAAAACAGAGGAATACAAGGGCCTTCCTGGAGCAGCTGAAGAGCTGGAAGCAAAGGCTAAATCAAAACAAACACCGGCTTTCAGCAGCCAGGGTCCTGTAAGTGTCTCTAACTACTCTGCCCAACTCTTCAGAGGAACTCCAGGGAAAACCATCTCAGCCCACCAGAGAACATAGTTCATGTGGGTTTCCAAGGAGACAGGTAAGAAACAGTGCCCTGAACTTTTAACTGCAGAGCAGGGAGCTCCTCCTCCACCCCGGGGCAGGAGAGGCGAGACAGTGGTTGGACACGTACTCGATGCCCAGGTCCACCTCGGGGATGCCGCTCAGCATCTGGTTGGACAGCATCTCCTCTGTCTTTTTTGCCGAGGAGACGCGGATGTTTTCGGGAAGCTCATAAAGACAGTCCTCTGCGTTCTTGGGCTTTACTTTCTGTTCTTCATGTTCCACGATCCCTTTCCTCTTCTTCAGCTCTGTCTCAATGTACTTCATCCTGAAACAAGAAACCCACAGGCCTCAGGGAGGGGCAGGAAGCTCACAATAGGCATCTTTTAAGTTAGTGGTCCCCAACACTGGCCCACAGAGTGGTGATGGTCCAAGATGAAGTTTTCATCAGTCCATGGAGAGGTGAGAAAAATAAAAATAACTCGAGTTTTTGCATCAAGGTAAAATTTGCAACTTAAAGCACACCCTATATAATGAGATTCTGCCCCACCCTTCTGTCTTTGAAGACAGAATGGTCGTTGTTTGTTTAACAGCCTTGTTGGCCAAGACAAAAAGTGGGCTGTCTAGTGTTTAGCCCTGTGATGTTTTGGGGAAATACTACCAGTCAAAGAATCTGAAATCTCAAGAATCACTTTTAGAGAACTTATCGGACTTTTTCAAAGTTCTCAAGCCTGAGAGGTGGGCCCAGGGGGACCAACTCTGCTACTCTAGAAATGCCACCCGTGGCTGATGATCTCAGACCGACCCGCCGCAGCCGCCCCCGTCGCCACAGCCAGCCTGGCACCTACATGTCGGCGTCTTCATCCCTTCGGTTGGTTTCCGCAGAAAACGACGTCCCCAGGTGGAGGTCTTCCTCTTCGCTGATCCTGGGGGGCAGTGAAACAGACCCTTAAAGCCACACCCCAGTGAGGCCGAGCTTTATGTTACACCAATAAAAAAAGTACATGGCAACAAAGTGTAACATCCTCTTTATAGGTGGGGCAAAATATGATGTAAATAAAATACATATATGCAAGCAAATGGTTGGCTTTTGGAGCTTCCTCTGGGGAATTAGCAGATACTTTAATTTTTTACTTTTGTACTGTATGAATGTATTATTTTTTATAACTGTGTTATGTTTTCTTTAAAAAGAAAAAAAAACTTCCAGTAAACAATGAACCTTTACAAAAGGATATACCCACATTTCTCTAAGCTAACTTTTAAGAGGTTTTTTCTTTTTTTAAATTTTAAGATTTTTGTTTTCTAAATTTATTTTTTAATATGTTTTTATTGAATTGTAGAAAGAGGGAGGAAGGGGAAGGGAGACACAGAAACATCGGTAAGAACGAAACATCATCGATCGGCCGCCTCCTGTAAGTCTCCTACTGGGCATCAAACCCGCAACCGGGGCATGTGTCCTGATCAAGAATTAAACCGGTGACCTCTTGGTTCCTGGGTCGACGGTCAACCACTGAGCCACACTGGCCGGGCATGTTTTCTGTTTTTAAACTATATATAGTTTACAAAGCACAAAGGATACTTGGAAATGTCCCACTAAAGCTACTGCTGCAGGCTCCAAGTCTCTGGGGGCACACAGACCCTGGCAGGGGCTGCAGGTGAATTGGTATCTCAGCGTGTCCTACACTTACTTATCTTTGCCCCTTTCCTTCAGTTTCTTCATGTCCACCATACCTCCTGTCTTCATCTGAAAGGGATCATCCTGTAGAAAGCAAATATGGCTGAGAAGAAACATCTATATAATGGCAATGAATTTTCTTAAGAAAACACAATCATCCGCTGAAGAGTATCCACATCTTCCCACTGCCCGGGGATGACCCCACAACTTACCACTAGAGTGGTCTCTTCTTGTACCTTCTCTCCCACCAGCAGGGCTGCAGCACTGAGAAAAACGAAAAAGGAAAAGGAAGGAGAGAGGAATGGCACATTTCAGAGATGAGGAAGAATGTTCAGGAAGTTTGTAGACTGAAACATTAGTGCCAGGGTGACATTTGAGGGGTGGGCACCAAAGCCAGCTGGAAAAGCCTACAAGACTAAAACAGGGCTCAACAAGCACTCTAGATGCTGGGGTGTGTGTGTGTGTGTGTGTGTGAGTGAAGAGGTAAACTTTTCTATAAAGCCATTTGGCATTATCTTGGCTTGGAAATCTCATTTCCAGGATTTTTGTCTTCAGGGAAAATGAAGCTAAAGACAAGTGTAGGGAAATACTACTGTAGCTTTATTTGATGAACATTTACAAAAATGACCCACAGGTCCTCAAATAGGGAATTAGTTGAATTACAGCACATTCTTGTGGTAGCATGAGTGAATGTCCACAGTGTCACAATGAGCTGAAAACAGCACAGAATGAAAGTTCTCACTATTCTTTACAAAAGCGAGAAGGAACACAGACAGGAAAGAGCATTATGTGTTAACAACAGTGGTTACCCTGGACGGGAGAATGACGGGTGCTGTTTATTTGCTTGATTATACTTTTCTAAACTTTCCAAACTCTTATCACTGTGCTTTCACACGAGTTAGTGACCTGTTTCTGCACCTCTGGAGCAAGCCTAAGGACCCACACGGCTCAGGGCACCTCCTGGTTAAAAAGAACCAGGACCTCTGGTTTTCAAAGAACGCTGGGCCTCTTTCGGGGTAGTGGAAGCTGTGTCCCAGGAGAGATTCTGTGGCAGCGCCCAGGGCGGGGGCGTGTGCCAGCCCCACCTCCTCCTCCGGGCCCACCCACGGTACCCACCTCACTCCGTTGGGCCTCTTCCTCAAGTTCTGCACCTCTCGGGTCTCTTCCAGTTTTAATCTGAAAAAGGGCGATGGACAGGTTGAGAGGCCCTCCGCGGAACTCGCAGCCAAACAGCAGCTCCAGCAGCCTCCCAGCCGTCTGCGGGCGCCGGGACCCGCGGGGACTCAGACCCACTGCCCACCCCGGGGGCACCGCTTCCAATTACGCGGCCTCATCCCTAGAAGCCCCCATTTCTTCGTCCGCACAGGGGACACCACCACCGGCTCACAGTTACCAGTTGTCAAGGAGGCGCCTGGCCCGTGCCGGGCCCCCAAGCCAGCTTCCCTTTCCCTGCCCGGTGGAAACCCCGCTCCAGACGCACCGAACCTCTTCTGAGTTCTGCTCATCTTCGTCTGACTCCGAGTCGGCCCGGCGCCGGCGGAAAGCCTTCCCGGTGACCGGCATGGCGACGCCGGCCCCGGAGGGTCCAGCCGCGGCCCCGCTGCGCCGAGGTCTCGTCTGCTTCCGGCGCACAGCAGTGGCGTCAGAGGGCCCGCCCCCGCGGTTCCGCAGTGCCCTGCGCGCCGCGGCCAGGGCTA